TCTTATTTAACTCTGCTTTTTTGTCTTTCATCTGTTTAGAGGGCAAAATGAGGTAGAACCACAGCATACTCCAACAAAAGGTATAAAAAATGTTAGTTACTCTAGTAATTTAAGTCATACTAATCTCCACACGCTTGAGATAAACTGGTCTAATGCAAGATGATCCCGCTGCGTCATTATTATTATTATTATTATTATTTTTACTCTTAATTTTCTAAGCAATATTTAAATGCATATCTTTACCGACACCTAAAATATAGATAGCCACAGGAAATTTAAACTTTCTGCTCAAAGATTTTTGTATTTGAAGGGTTATTGGTTGCATCCTTATTAGTTAAGAACAAGTAGAGAAACAGAAAATTAGGAAACGGATAAGAATTTTGATCCCACTCAAAAATTTCAAGTATTTACACTATTTTCAAACGGGCAAAACTACCACCCTGGCAAACTCCGACATCCTCTCGTACTTGCAGTTGCTTAGAACAAAGATACGTATTGTTCGCTCAGCATAATCCGGGACGAAGATATGCGCTTTAAAAAGATTGGGATCAGGCTTAGGATTAGATCGGTCATTTTACAAACACTTAACAGACATTTCGTTGCGCGTACAGGGCAGTTAATTTGTACCCCTGCTTAAACTTGATACCATATATGGGGCAGCCTCTGCTTCCCAGAGAGAATGATGGAGGTCTGCGAGGTTGTTCTAACTTTGTCTGTGGACGTAATTCTACGCTTTGATCGTTAGCATGGTACCATTTTGTTCCTTTGTTTTTTGGCATAGTGCAAAATGAAATTTGTCAGTTACTATGCGTGATTGCTTGATGGATGTGTTAAAGTGTTCAGATGAAGGGTATAAGTGCAGTTTGAAGCAATGCAGCGAGTAATAATTTCAAAGAGGATTTTACTAACTAGGCCCCCTACGCCCCCGTCACCCTTCGGGGGGAAGGGGTTGTATCGTGCACCTCCAGATTTTGAGGGTTTAACATTAACAATCCTTCCAGTGAAACCCTTACTGCACAAACTGTTTATAACACACATTACTGTCACGACCTGTTATGTTTAAAAGACAACTTCTTTTAGTATTGAAAGGAATGTAAGGCCGATTTTATTTTACTTTAATCTTATTTAGGCATATCCACTGTTATGGAGTATTGTAAAGGCGGGAGGCCATCGTGGACTGCAAGAATGTCAAAGGCAGTTCAAAAATGAGATTTGGAACTGTACACTAGACCAGAACAAGCCAGTGTATAAAGAGCTCCCCATTTTTGTTAAAACAACGTTACCTTATGGTAAGGGTTATTTTCAGTATTTTAAAATACTTTTCATTTCCTTTTTTTTCACAACTTTTCCCTTTTCTCCACGAATTTTGCTGCCTAAGAAAAGTTTCATGTGTCCCTTTCAAGTCGTCTTGATGGGACACGATATGATTGTTTTCACTGAGAAACAATTTATTACTTTATAATCATTTAAGCAATAAAAAAACATTTTCCATGTTTGCATATAGCCTGGTATAAATTTAACACGATACGGATTGGGAGAATTCGAGACAGTCATGCAAACTCGACGAAGTCGGTACCATTATGGCGCGTACACAGCGAAACATCGTGACGTCACAACCGTGTTTACATACTCCGATGAAAGCACGCCTCTCGGCCAGTAAGAACGCACGTACCATCTTAGCTATTTCAAAAAAGGATATACACTGATTGTTTCGTTATGATAACGCGGAACCCCGTCAATATAAATTGCATGCACAAGCCTGTAGTGCCTTGTTGCCTGATTCCTCGTCATATCTGCATCATATTTTTTGTTAATCATCGCAATAGTCCACTTTCGCGAATTAAAAAATTACCTCTGAATATAAACATTAACGACACATTCATACAGGGTTAGCCTCGACGTAAAGTAAAATATTCAGGAATTCTGGCAAGTAAGTGTTTGAAATTTGAATATGACACATATAAACAGGTCTTTTTCTCGTTGGAATTTGTGAATATATTACTTCAGATTGAGGCTAAGGCTGTAAAAAATGCGTCTTCACTTCTTTAATTCAGCGGTCATAGCGAACTCGAAAATGGGCTATTTTGCTAGTTAGTTCGTATACTTCTCCGTAGTCGGGCTGAAAACAATATTTTCATTGGAGCCAAAAACTCTGCTCCAATGACAAACTCGTTCTCAGTAAATTATTCGAAAAATATGTTTTACCATTAATCTGCCAACAGGTATTAGTTGCTAACTCCTGGTCATTATCTCCAGATATATTTGGCAGTTTCTAACCTTTTTTATTGTTCTCTAACAGCTAATAAAGAGACAGCTTTTATTCACGCCATTAGCACCGCGGCCATCATATATGAGATCATAAATCAGTGTAGACTAAACAAAATACCTGGATGTGGCTGCGCGGACGTTAAAAAGCAGCGGGAAGGCAATGGCGACTGGCAGTGGGGTGGATGCAGTGATAACATAAGGTTCGGTGAAAAGGAGACCAGGCATTTTATCAACAGACTTGAAACTGGACTTGACGCCAGAACAGCTTTTAACTTACACAACAATGAAGTTGGAAGAAAGGTACATTTGTCATCTAGTAATTGTTTCACTATTCGAACCAGTCATAACATTTGTTCCTCGGTAGTTCCAGGATATGGGAAAAATTTTGTTTCTAGGAGATTTTCGTCAAATAGCGCATGGTTTTTATCCGTTAAGTGGTATTTTTGCAATTCTTCTTTTCGCTTTTTATAGGTAATAGTTTAGCTATTTTGTCTTTACATAGCAGGTGAAATCTTCCTTCATTATCTCCAATCTGACAAATCAAAAAAGCTGAGCGACCAACCCGCCCTCTGTCCCTTTTCTGTAGGTTGTAAATCAGTAGAGGTGACGTTAACTGTACTATTATCAGAAAAATCTCCCAAATCTGTAAACCTTTGAAGTGTTTTCCGGGGGATGGATTCAATCCGTCTTTCAGTACTTTTCAAAAGCCCAAAACCTAATAGTTTCTTTGTCGCCTCATGTTAGGGAATCCAGATTCGAGAATCCGGGAAATACTTGCTTGTGGTATCCGGAATCCATGAAATTTTTACTTGTGGAATTTGGAATCCTGGGCTTTGGGATCCGGAATACAGCACCAGGAATTCGGAATCCCACCAAGGATTGGAATCTGAAATCAAGTACCTGGATTCCGGAATCCACAACGTGGAATCTAGAAACCAAACTGTCTTCGATTCCTTTGCATGGGGCGATTCTTTTAGCCTCTCTCGCAGGCATTTTTAGGGGAGCTCTTTTTTCATTCCTCCCCACAAACGCCTGCTCAACCGAAAACAACATTCCTTTCCCACTGTTTTATTTGCGTGGTAAGTGACCAATCAACAGTTGTGCAATGAAGTGTTGACAGGCTAAACTCGACTAAAACGTGACCCTAGAGTTACCGTTTTCGTTCTTTTCTTTCCTTCGCTAAGGTTATGCAATGCATGGAGTATTCTAAAATTTGACTAAATCTTATTTTTGCCGCTATGAATCTAACACTTATTAGAGGTCAGAAAGCTTTCCCAGTGTTTCATGCAGATCGAGTCATTATCAGATTACCTTGCGGTCAAGGTTAACTTTCCAGAATTTGGAAAGTACAATGTGAAAGGGAACGGAATGCTGTCTTCGGTTGAGCGGGCGTTTGTGGGGAGGGATGAAAAACGAGCTCCCCTAAAAACTCATGCGTGGGAGGCTACGATTCTTTGTGAGGGAAATATAAAGACACAAACAACGTAACTTCGGCTTCTCGAAGTTATACTTTTCTTGAACTGAAAATGAAAATGCTCACTTTCTCACCTCATCCTGTGTAAATCTTCCTCACCGCAGTACTCCATGGTTGTTTTTATTTACCCAAAACTGTTGGTTCTTAGGGCAGAGCAACATTAAATGGGTGGGTGGGTAGGGACGACTTTGTTGTGGTTTGATTACAGGGTAGTATCGCGTATAGATGGAAGACTCTCGAGAGTTTTGTGGGAAGTGGAATATGCCTATATCAGAACAGCTAAGTGCTCTCCCATGATGGGAATTACCAGTGTTAAAACCAGTGTGATCTTTTTGTCGTTGTTTTTTTTTTTCACGAAGTTTTTTTTGCTTTCAATAACAGGTTGTTCGTTTAAGTCTTAAAAGGGAATGCAAATGTCACGGCGTCACTGGAAGCTGCAATTTGAAAACTTGCTGGAGGCAACTGACGCCCCTTGACGTCATCGCATCAAAACTGAAGCTGAAATACCGCAATGCGGTACGCGTTGTATCTGTTGACAATAAGCTTCAAGAGAAGGTCAGGAGCAAATTAACATCGAGAATGGACAAAAAGCTTGTATATCTCGAAGAATCCCCAGACTACTGTAAACCAAACAAAATCACTGGTTCTCCAGGAATGCTGGGAAGAACATGCAGCAGCGAAGACGTAACAACGAACAGATGCAAAACACTATGTCAGTCGTGTGAGCTGAAACCCGTAACCGTGCAACGTTCCAAGACATTCGACTGCAGATGTCATTTCTTGTGGTGCTGTAGCATCAAATGCGAGTCATGCAGCAGAAAGTATTCGGAAACGACGTGCACCTCAAGGGGAAAAAAACCATAAGAGTTTCAAAAGACCTTTAACTAAGGCAGAAAGTGGGTTGTAAAACAGCAGTTATCCAGCCACTGGTCAAACTATATTCTCGAACTGGTTGAAATGATGAAAAAAGTAATAGCGTCCCCAGAGAAGTTCCATAATGCAATTCGAGACCACACAGACCTATTCTCGCGTTCAGTCTCAAAATCTCCGTGATAACGCATTCCGTGATAACGAAGGATTTCTTCAGTCCTAAAACACACTTCTAGAGGGAGTTCAAATTCTCCTTATAGCTTCTCGCCATGGAAACGGGATGAGCTTCGGCCTGGCTTGAAAAATGATTATATCTCTACCATTTATTAACATGTAAATTTGGTCGAATTTAGCAGTTAAACGACTTTGTTTATCTACTACCATGCCACCTGATGAAGACCCTTTAATGCTCGACAAAAATAGAAGAGGGGGAACTTTATCGCTCCACTTATTCCAATTGCTATTCAATTATCACCAATATGCATTCGGAAAAGTTTTGTGGCAGCCAGAGTCATTATAATTTATAGGGGAGTACCGTAATTAAATGATCTATTAGACACCTCTTGTCAAATAAAGGTCTTACGCTTTCAAGTTTCAAGTAGATGCCCCTCTCTAATAATCCCCGCCCCCTCTGTGTTAATGGCAAGTACTCCAAAATACTAGGAAATAGCAAACAAGTAAAATACTGCCATTTGTTCAGTTTCTTGCTTGATAAACAAAGGTTTGCGTATTGCATCCTGTTCGTGTTAAGTTTAAAGTAAAGTTACCAAGCAACAAATTTAATTTGTGAAATCCTAATATTTCCTAAAACTGAAACACAAGATCAGTTTTTTTAAGTTTTTTGCTAGAAGTAAGAACAAAAACCTTCAATTAAGGGGCAAGACGGGTACTGTCCTATTAATGCTGAGATGAAGGCAATTGATAGCCTATTGGATTTAGAGAATTTTGTTATAGTTATGATTAAATTTGAATTAATATCATCAGGGGATATCATATTGAATTATAAGGTTAAGTGGAAAAACAAAACAGAGATTTCTATGCATAGTTCCTATACTACTTTTAAGTTCTGTTTACTCCCTTTTTCAATAAAACTGAAATGTCCTGGGGTCGGTTACAAAAGAGAAAATCGAAAGTGGCACAATTCATGAATAAACATTATTTTCATTGAAATTCCTTGATGGATTAACAAGTACAGTCATTTAATGTGAAAAAAAAAAAAAATGAATCTTTTTATTTGCCGAATCTAGAAAGCCAATGTGTCTTTGTCCTTTTTCTATAATAGTAATTATAATGACAATTAGCAATTATTTAATGAGGCTCGGTAGGATGCGAAGATTGCTGATCGAGGAGGATGTCATCCACCGACATGATCGACGCTTAGGGCCGAGGTGGATAGCATCCTCCGAGATCTGCGTAATTCTTTACATCATGCGAAAGCGGGGATCAATAATTGTTCTATTATTCATTCAAAGTTATATTTTTAAGTTCCTAACATGCTTACCTCCTCGTAGACTGTCTTCTAAACTTTGGCCTATTTCACGGAACAGTTTCAGGATATAAACACACTAGGTCTATTCTTGCAGATACTCAAAGAAGTAGATAATATCTATCGAACAATATGTTTTGCGTATTCTTGCTTTTCTTCCATTCAGTTATAGTCAGAAATTTGGCTATTTCGTCGTCGGATAGCTGCAGGAATCGCCGTTATTTCAGTTTACTCGTGACAGCTGGGCCACCGCGCCTGGAACGTTTCCAAATCACTATAGAGCGTTTTCAGTCACGTGGCCAGCATCTATGCCAATTTAAAAAGAAAGCATTTACATGTGGAAAGAGTTCAACTCCCACAGGATTTTCTTGGTACACCAACATGGCCGCCGTTTCATTGTTTTAGAACACCAATATGGCCGCCGTGACGTCATGTGAAAACGCTCTATACCATGGATCAACTTCGTTTCCAAGTTAACATATATACCATCGATGGTATAATTGATGGTATATTGCTCGCCTCTTCCAAATTACGTTATTATGACGCACATTCATGATGAAATACGCATTATAGACGATCAAAAACCTAAAATTTTTCTTTTATGCAACTTTGTCCCTTCTCCGTTCCGACTAAATTCAATGTTTTCGCGTTTAAATACCGCTAAAGTTTGACTATATGGTAATTTGGCGGGAAATTTGAATTTCTTTAATTAAATGTAACTTAACGCCTTTTTATCCGATTGAGATGAGGTTTTCACCAGAAATCATATAATTCTATACAGAAAACTAATACAAAATTTTTACCATTTCCTTCCTGAATTTTCTTTCTGATGCCAAATTTGGACATTATTTATGACGTCACAACATCACCTACATGGGATGAAATAAACACCAATAAATAGGTAATTTATCAACCTACTTCCCTACCAAGTTTCGTGACATTCGATTCACTCTATTTTTATCTATGGCCCAAAACTCTCAGTTTTGAGAGGTGCGAGAGCAACAGCCCTAGCAACCAACCACTGTGAAACGCCCGGGGTGTCTATTTAATTGCTCTGGGACTTCCTATTGTCTCTAGTCTAGCACAACATTGCACAACATCAAACTCCCATGCAGCACGCGAGAATTTACCACGCTTGGTTGCCCTCTGAAATCTATTCGCTATTGTTTTCTCCTATTCTACAATAATCACCATATTTCGGAAAGATTTCAGAGGGCAACGAAGCGCGGTAAACTCTAGCGTGCTGCATGGAAATTTGATGTTGCGCTAAACTCGAGACAAAAGCAAGCCCCAGAGCAAAAACTTAGCCAGATATGTGACATCTCTTCAATATTACTTACTTTTGCCCCCATGTTAGACAACTTTTAATTAGAAGTTTACAATCGACACGAAATTCGGGGATTTAATGGTACACTGATCAATTAATAAACTAAAAAAGTTTAAAAAAATCTATCGACGAATTTTCTTTTAATCGCTGTTTTCGTGAAAGTAGCCTTAGAAATTACAAAAAGAGCTCAGCATTGCGTTTTACCCTGATTCGTACGTTTTCATGTGTTTCGAAATCGTGCAAGTGTACTTGCGTTCAGCGGCTTCTAAAGAGTATAAGGGTCATTTGCAAAACGAATGAGTGATAAAACCTTTTCGGGAACATCCAAAAAGTAGCAAATTTGTCTGCATAAAGTCCAGTCTTCAGTGCATGCATAATTTATACCCTTTTTATAGAGATTCTAAGATATCTCGAAATTCCTATGATAGATTTTTGTGAAACTTCGCACAGCAGAAGAGATTTATCAAAAGTAGCTTATTAAAGCATTTCAAAAGAAAAAGCCGAACAGGGCTGAAAGTCGATTTAGAGCTAAAACCATTGTGACGTCATTACCACGTGACATTTATTCCGATCGCCCAAAGAATGATACCATAATAAAGTTTAGTCTAAATGTAATCCAAATGGCATAATCGTTTTACAATACAGATCGATTTGTTTAAGGTGACTCGACCCAGTTTTTTTTTGGGGGGGTACCATCCTACTTTGAAGCTCTCTGGTATCCCCACCTTTACTTTTATCGTAAGTCTAACACATAGAATGGATAACATATAGATCAATCTACAATATAACATAAAATTTTTGGCGATCGGAGTAAATGTCACGTGGTTATAATGCCACGTTCCTTTGAGGTCTGAGTCGAAAATCTGCTGTTGCCGGCATTTTTTCGTGAAAATCTCTCGGCTACACATAGTGCGCATTAGTGCCTAGCGCTGAACAGAGTTTCACCAAAATTGCAAAGACCTAATTCGAGAAATTCAGCGGTTTCCAAATTTAGGTCATAATTTATGCGAAAATGATAAGCAAACTTTACACGGATTATATCTAATAAACTATGAGATTCATCTCTTTATTTTGGGCATCGTTAGGGGGTTTTGCAAGTCAGCAAAACGCTTTAGGGCCTTGTAAATGAGCGCGATTTTGAGCAAAGCAAACATATAGAAATTATAGTTTTCGCTATTTGTTGAAGTTTGTCAGTGTTTAAGAGTCCTTCTCACGAAAAAAGCATTTTCTTAAAAATTCGTAGTTTTTTTTCCTTCAATTTTTTTCAGGGCCACAACTAATTAACTAATTACCTGGACTCTGAATTTCATGGTCATTGAAAAACTGTGAAATTACCTTCTATAAGCCCAAACTTGAGTAAACATTGAAGATTTTTAGCGTTTTGGCTGAGTTTGTGCTTTGGGAGTTGTCTATTGTTTCTAGTCTGTCATTATACAGCATTCTTGTTCAGCACGCGCGCAATGACCACGCTTGGCTGACTTCCGAATGCTCACCGAGATAATTTATGATAATTTAGTATAAGAAAATAGAACGGATTCCCGTCACGAGTTGGTTTAATTATTGGCTTGCATTAAACCTATGAAAAAATGATATTTTTTTAATAGTAAGTACATTTAGTGTGTAGCACTTCTTGATTTTTTTACAAAGGCACAAGAAGCACGAGAATTGATTAAAAATTGTGAGTTAAAACTCTGGTACCACGCGATGGCCTGTCTCACTGTACCATATCATATCCAGGTAAGCATTCGGAAGTCAGCCAAGCGCGGTAATTGCACGCGTGCTGAACAAGAATGCTGTATCATGACAGACTAGAAACAATAGACAACTCCCAAAGCACAAACTCAGCCAAAACGCTAAAAATCTTCAATGTTTACTCAAGTTTGGGCTTATGGAAGATAATGTGACAGTTTTTCAATGACCATGAAATTCAGAAACCGGGTAGTTAGTTAATCAGTTGTGGCCCTGAAAAAATTTGAAGGAAAAAAAACTACGGATTTTTAAGAAAATGCTTTTTTCTTGAGATTGACTCTTAAACGCTGACAAACGTCAAAAAATAGCGAAAACTATAATTTCTATATGTTTGCTTTGCTCAAAATCGCGCTCATTTACAAGGCTCTAAAGCGTTTTGCTGACTTGCAAGGACCCATCTGTTATAACGATGCCCAAAATAAAGAGATGAAT